AGGATCAGAGGTTTGGGGAGGGGGGGAGGGGTAATATAGGGCTGTCCCCCTGGCCACCATATATACATGTATTCATATAGGATCAGAGGTTTGGGGAGGGGGGGAGGGGTAATATAGGGCTGTCCCCCTGGCCACCATATATACATGTATTCATATAGGATCAGAGGTTTGGGGAGGGGGGGAGGGGTAATATAGGGCTGTCCCCCTGGCCACCATATATACATGTATTCATATAGGATCAGAGGTTTGGGGAGGGGGGGAGGGGTAATATAGGGCTGTCCCCCTGGCCACCATATATACATGTATTCATATAGGATCAGAGGTTTGGGGAGGGGGGGAGGGGTAATATAGGGCTGTCCCCCTGGCCACCATATATACATGTATTCATATAGGATCAGAGGTTTGGGGAGGGGGGGAGGGGTAATATAGGGCTGTCCCCCTGGCCACCATATATACATGTATTCATATAGGATCAGAGGTTTGGGGAGGGGGGGAGGGGTAATATAGGGCTGTCCCCCTGGCCACCATATATACATGTATTCATATAGGATCAGAGGTTTGGGGAGGGGGGGAGGGGTAATATAGGGCTGTCCCCCTGGCCACCATATATACATGTATTCATATAGGATCAGAGGTTTGGGGAGGGGGGGAGGGGTAATATAGGGCTGTCCCCCTGGCCACCATATATACATGTATTCATATAGGATCAGAGGTTTGGGGAGGGGGGGAGGGGTAATATAGGGCTGTCCCCCTGGCCACCATATATACATGTATTCATATAGGATCAGAGGTTTGGGGAGGGGGGGAGGGGTAATATAGGGCTGTCCCCCTGGCCACCATATATACATGTATTCATATAGGATCAGAGGTTTGGGGAGGGGGGGAGGGGTAATATAGGGCTGTCCCCCTGGCCACCATATATACATGTATTCATATAGGATCAGAGGTTTGGGGAGGGGGGGAGGGGTAATATAGGGCTGTCCCCCTGGCCACCATATATACATGTATTCATATAGGATCAGAGGTTTGGGGAGGGGGGGAGGGGTAATATAGGGCTGTCCCCCTGGCCACCATATATACATGTATTCATATAGGATCAGAGGTTTGGGGAGGGGGGGAGGGGTAATATAGGGCTGTCCCCCTGGCCACCATATATACATGTATTCATATAGGATCAGAGGTTTGGGGAGGGGGGGAGGGGTAATATAGGGCTGTCCCCCTGGCCACCATATATACATGTATTCATATAGGATCAGAGGTTTGGGGAGGGGGGGAGGGGTAATATAGGGCTGTCCCCCTGGCCACCATATATACATGTATTCATATAGGATCAGAGGTTTGGGGAGGGGGGGAGGGGTAATATAGGGCTGTCCCCCTGGCCACCATATATACATGTATTCATATAGGATCAGAGGTTTGGGGAGGGGGGGAGGGGTAATATAGGGCTGTCCCCCTGGCCACCATATATACATGTATTCATATAGGATCAGAGGTTTGGGGAGGGGGGGAGGGGTAATATAGGGCTGTCCCCCTGGCCACCATATATACATGTATTCATATAGGATCAGAGGTTTGGGGAGGGGGGGAGGGGTAATATAGGGCTGTCCCCCTGGCCACCACATGTACTCAAGCTTTTCAACAGGAGGGTCTGGAAAATCAACTACCGTCTAGCTATTAAAAAACAAGACTACTGGTACGCGCAAGATCGATAACTGATTTAATTCTCATAAGATTACCATCCGCCCCCTTCCTTATGAATAGGTATTACTTTATTAATACAATGCAACTGACGTGTAGTCGCAAGTTAGAAGACAATGCGTGATTACTCACAGCAGTAGGAGGCTGCTACTGCTCCCCAGCAAGGAGTCAACACAGCAGCGCGTAACCCGGGCTTAATTAGGGGTTATTGGCTGTCCACTTATGATCGGTATTGTTCGTCTTGATTGCAGCACACTTCCTACTCATTATTGGTTCGCCCACCTCTTCTTTAAATACTCTCTCAAACCTTTCCTCAGTCAGCCGAGAATGGAAACACGTTTATCTGCCGATAAACTACGTCGTTGATGTATTATTTGGCATCATTCTACAGTGGGTCATAAGGCTCTATCTATGATTTTTTTCGTCTCGCTTTTGACCAGATTAAGCTGAAGTTAGAAAACTAAATTTAATGAATAATTTTCTCACGTGCACGTATCCAGCTAATTTTACAACAATAACTACCACGGCACCTCCGCCATTTGCAATTGTAGACGAAGCATGTGTTTCCAACTGATAGGCCAATACAACTATACCAGACCCATTGCACGAGGAAAGACTGTTTATATTTAATGAATTAAAAACATTTGAGGATCGCGATTTTCTATTGATATACTATCGATGGTATCCCTGTATTAAATCATCCACTGCTACCCCCTCTATTGTAGTGTAGCATGACTCGTATCACAAGATGGCCTTAGAAATAAAGTAAGACAGGCCTACACTCTGATAGTTTTTAGTCTACTATCATTAGCCCTAATGCCATTTCTTGTCATTCATTCTAGAACTCTCTGAGCCATCGAAAAGTTATTTGCCAGGGCATAAATAGGCTACTTCTTAACGGATTTTTTTTATTTTCAGTGAGTCAAAAATTGTTCGAGGACGACTTTTGTCGTTATCGCCGTTTCTCGGACGTCATTTATATGGCGTTGAACGGCAGTCCCAGACAAAGGATCGGAAAGTTTCCAAATAAAAGAACTTATAAATGTTGCCACTAGCCAACATTATTGTTCCTAAGTAAAGAGAGGCGATAATGATCTGTTCTTTCTTCTAGCTTAGTCTGTCGACTAAAATGAACAAGGTTAGGCCTACAATGCAACCACCAATTATTACGACCATAATGAGGTTCTTTGCTACACTCCCTTTCTTCATGATCGCGAAAACCGTGGAGTGCTGTGTTTTAAATATATAAAAAGGGTCTCGCGAGGTGAAGCTATAATAATGAACTAAAAATATACGATGAATATTTAATAAACCATGAAGCACGTAGCCCATGCCTCTTCTTTGACCAACATCACATTTTTACATTCTTTGTTTTAATAAGAGGACGAACGTGGTCTAATTTGTCTTTTGGTAGTGATTTTGCTCGAAGTAGCGGAGTCAAGTAAATCGGTGATTTACCGTTGGTAAGAGTAGCAATCATCGCTCCTGCGTCCTCACCGATTACTTTCTAATCCCCCGTAATTAACGTAGTCAGGAATAAGCGCTGAAATAGGGGATTTTGTATCAGGGAAAATTTTAGTATTAATCTTATGTTATCATGTATCCGTATTATGTAATCATGTAACTCATTTTCCCAAGGCAACCACCAATTATGACGACCATTAATGAAGTTCTCTGTTACACTCTCTCCTCATGATCACTTGCTCGATCGTGAAACCCTGGAGGTGTTGGGTAAATATTTGGGGTAGTTAATTATAGCATGCTACACTCTCCTCATGATCACTTGCTCGATTGTGAAATCTGGAGTGAAACCCATGGTTTATCTAACAATGGTTTAAATAAATAAAAAGGGTGTCACGGAGGTGAAGCTGCTTAACTCATAAGAATAATGAACGAAAAAATACGATGAACATTTAATAAACCACGAAGCATGTATGTTTTGACCGTCATCGCCTTTTTTACATAAGATGTTTCAACAAGAGGGCAGATGTAGTCCAATTTGTCTTTTGTTGGTGATTCTGCTTCAGGTGGCTGAGTTTAGTTGATTTACCGTTGGTAAGAGTAGCAAACATCACTCCCCCGTCCTAACGGATTACTTTCCAACCCCCCATAATTAACGCAGCCAGGAATAGGCGCTGAAATAGGGGGTATTATATCAGGAATTAATTTTTCGTAATTATGTATCCGTAAAATAAGAATCGTTACATTATCACGTATATTTCCAGATGGAAAATATCATAATTTATGCACACTGATCGTATTATTAAGAGAATCTCCAGATGTAAACAAAGGTCAGTCAAGTTTCACTCATCCCAGGCTGCAGGGCAGATATGGAGAATTGAATGAAGCGCGAGTGATCTGGCAACCCTACAATTTTGTCATAATGATTTATGGGCAAACAATAGAAGCATGAAATTAACACCTTTTACAGTGTGAAGGACGACACCTTAATTGTGAGGCTTTTGTTTCTTCCCCTTGGTGGTAATTACAAAGCAAGTATATTGACGTAAGTGTTATCTGCTTGGTGAAGACTTTTGCGTGTTCAAAGGAACAATGGAAATGTCATTTCAAAACAAAGAGCCACATTGTCCTACTTAGGTGGCCAAAATATTGTCAATGAAACGCAAAAAAGACAAAATCACCAGCTATTACTGACTGAGTCTGACTCAAATGCAAAAAGGTACGCATGCACATGCAGCGACAAAGCACTATACTAAACTATACTAAACAATGAGATGTATAAAATGACTTATTGTACTATAAAACTCTACCCCTGCCCCAAACTTGTATATCATTACACACACAAGGCCACCCTATACCAGAGTTACAGACCGCTCTTTCGTCGTTTATATCAAATGAAAACTAGCTGATACCCATCGTATCAATCATTATACCATGATAAGAGATTAGCATACCAATTTATGGCCCCCAGCATGTGCATGCAACCTTTTCAGCTCTGACCACAAAACCTTGTGATTGGAGTTTACAATAAAATCATGTTTCAATGATCCAGGCACCCCACTCCTATAGCTATACTAATAAGCAACTGCTGTGGCAAAACGTCGAAACTGTCAACTTAAATACACAGCTGATCATGAATCAATGACCTAGATTATGTGTAAGTACTTTGCAGTCACAAGAGTCAATGTAGAAGTATTCAGAAAATAACCAATTATATCACATGTACAGTCACAACAATATTCTCTCCGCANCTATACTAATAAGCAACTGCTGTGGCAAAACGTCGAAACTGTCAACTTAAATACACAGCTGATCATGAATCAATGACGTAGATTATGTGTAAGTACTTTGCAGTCACAAGAGTCAATGTAGAAGTATTCAGAAAATAACCAATTATATCACATGTACAGTCACAACAATATTCTCTCCATGTATGTGTTTACTATACTGCACAGTGTGCCATGACTCAGAGCAGCATGACCTACTGTCTTACTGGGAAACTTACAGGAAGTCAAAAAAGAAACAGTAAAGACAAGGAAGTACATAGCGTCTTTCAGCCTGCACTCTGAGGGGGTATTGTGCAGCAGTTAATTTAACAGACAAATAAGATAATTGACAGCGTGTAAGGGCACTTCAATCTTAACTCTGTGTATTGTTCAGAAGATAATAGAGATAAGCCCACTCTAAGCAGCACAAGGACCATATACAGTAGGTAAACATTAGTTCACTTCCTCAAGTATATTATCAACAAGTGCTATTATCAATGGGCTTTACTGTTCTGTTTTATACATAGCAGTCAGTCTACTGTGTTTTTTACCAGGCCTACCATAATCAGTTCTTTCACTATACTATAGTACACTAGTCTAGCTAGTACACGTATGATCTTAAATATAGTTATATACAGTACGTATACAGTTAAGCTCAGAAAGAACGCTTCATATTAATTATCTTTTTGTTGCCTTTTGTTATACCAAAAGTAATTATTTAGTTAACAGAGATAATTATAGGGTACTAGAGCTGACACCTCTGTGGTTATATACAGTCTGTTTACACAGGGGATAACATCTCATGCTACAATGAGTAATCAAGCTATATGTACTGACCCAGTAACACAGTGAGCAAACATGCATTAATATATTGTGTGCAAGTAACACAATCCATTCATAAAAGAGGGGCAGCTTTATAAAAAGTAACCAGTAAGATGTTAAGCTATTGTAACCCTTTATTATCATCCAAATACTGAAAATGAGTTTTTTTCCTGCATCTAATTATTTAATAATACATCTTTCTTTGTGCTGACTTAAAACAATGAAAAAGCCCTCGAAAATATAAAATATCTGCATTTATATTTCTTCATTGCAATCTATAATCATACGCAACTCAGAGCTTTAATCACCAAGAATTAAAACAGTTCAATCACCAATCAGAAAGATATATTCAGGCCGATCACCAATATCACTATGCAAGAATTCCCGAATCACATTTCACGCAGAATATTGAGCTAAAATAACGCATCACGCTAAAAAAATAAGGCCAATCACGTGGAACGCAAAAGGAATTCCATACCCTCAATCATCAGTTTAATACCTATAGATTTCCCATTTACTATCTTACTAGACTTCATGTGTAAATATTGCATTATTGTAAAAATGTTTGTCCTTACCCAGTCAGTAAATAGCTGCAAAGCTAATGTTTCCCTTCAATTTATACCCGACATGAAATAAAATTTACTGTATTGTATTGTATTGTATTGTATTGTAATATTATATTGTATTGTATTGTATTGTATTGTATTGTATTGTACTGTACTGTAATGTGGCCTAATACACTTCAATGATCAGATGGGTACTCAAAACTGAGAGATTTAACCAGCTTCCTTAGTAAAATGTTCATGAAAGCTGATTCTATCTTCTGTCTCTCCCCAAAATTGATGATGCAACATATCAAGTTAACCAGAAAATTTGGGGAATATCCAGAGTTGTTGAAGAATATATCTGTTGTTTTCATTTAACTTACCTGTTTAAAAATCAACATAAATGTACAATATTACATATATCCTTTCAGCTGTGAGGTTGAGTGAGCTAACCAGGCTATCACTAGTATACACTGTAAATATACTATATTAATATTACATATATCCTTTCAGACCTATCCTGTTCTGAGGATGTATTTTAGCAACTCTTCTAATGTCAGCTGTGAGGTTGAGTGAGCTAACCAGGCTATCACTAGTATCCACTGTAAATATACTATATTAATATTACATATATCCTTTCAGACCTATCCTGTTCTGAGGATGTATTTTGGCAACTCTTCCAATGTCAGCTGTGAGGTTGAATGGGCTAACCAGGCTATCACTACTGCACATATTTTGAAACGTTTTCCCAACAACGCACTGGTGCATGCAGCCTATGACATGCGTGTGGTGGGACGCCCTCTCATCTACAGTATAGGTATCATCTGTAACTTTCTGGCCATTGCTGTCTTCTCACAAAGAGCTTTCCGTAGGACCTCAAGTTGTATGATCTTGACAGCAGTAGCTGTGGCAGACATCTTCATTTTAACCCATGGCTATTTCTACTGGGCAGAATATGACCTGCTCACACCCACTCTGAGCCATGATGAGTTCACATGTAAAGCTGTCACCTTCATAGAATACTTTGGACCAGAGCTGAGTGTATTTCTGCTGCTCCTCCTAGGAGCTGAGAGAGTCTTGAAGGCAGGTCACAGAGACCTCCATGAGAAGTACTTCACCCCATGTAGGACTGCTGTGGCTATAGTTGTATTGGTTGTGGTGTTGGTACTTCTGAACATCCCCGTGTTGACAGCACATATCTACCTGGAGGATCCCTGCCTGGGGATGGTTTGCTGGAACATACTGGAACACAATGGGGAGGAGGCCCTCAACTCCACCGATAAGAACTACTTCCTGTTCTACAGATACCTGGTGCTCACCCTCTACGGCCTCCTCCCATATGTGGGTCTGCCGCTGCTCAATGGATGGCTGTACTGGATCACACGTAAGCAGTACCGTAGCATCAATGACGACAAATTTGAGAGAATTCCAGACCCAGACCACCCTCACTATGAGGACGAAGAGCTGCTGGTACACACACAGAAGTTGGAGCATGATAAGCGTGAACTGACACGGCTGGTAATCCTGGTCACTGCATCATTTTGCCTCCTTACAATGGGCTACAACATCATCCAAGGACACCTGTATAAGATCCACAATGCAAAGACTGAGCATAAACAGGCAGTCAATGCCATGATCTACTCTGTGTTTGTACTGTTGTTTTATCTCAATCACGCCTCCAATTTCTTCCTCTACTGCCTCAGTTGTAAGGTGTACAGAGAAGAGCTGAAGGACATGATAATGAGGAAGACAAGGAAAACCAAGGCAATCCTCACTAATACCCTCCTCCATGCCACTAATAATGACAGACGTCTATAGAGTGACATGAGTTAAATGGAAATAACTTCATATAAGGCAGTCCTCACTGATACCCTCCTCCATGCCACTAGTAATGACAGACCTCTATAGAGTGACATGAGTTAAATGGAAATAACTTCATATAAGGCAGTCCTCACTAATACCCTCCTCCATGCCACTAGTAATGACAGACCTCTATAGAGTGACAGGAGTTAAATGGAATAAACCTCATAATTCATATAGAGGGAATCTAAAATATTTTTATTATCAGATATTTTAAAGGACATAATTTGATGTTGAACATGAATGTGACAACTTTTGATTGCATGACAATTATTTAGGTTAGTAAATTGTCAATTTTCAAAATGGCACACAAAACCCCCTACCAAGAGTTTCAATATTGCCAAACTTGAATGAAGAGTCAGAATCTTTGACAATGGACACCATGAACCACTTCCATTAACTTTATCATTAAAAATGAGGATTATAGTGATCAAATATTTTATCAGCTTCTGATAGATATGTATTATAAGGCAGAATCAGAATTATCCTTACATCCAACAACCAAAGCTTGAACTTTTTTTAATACTATAAAATATGATGTAACTATGAGTGAAGACAAGTATAAACTGTGGTGTGATTAAATCACTGGTCAAAATGCCAGCACATTACTACAGAATGGCATCGTCTTCTCAGACCAGTCTTCTAGTTCATCAACTATAAATACAGGGTTATAATATATGGGGTAGTTTTTCACTGAGGGACAGCAGAAATCGTCTCTCCGTCTCTACCTGGAACATACAGTAGTCTATAATTGTGCATTGTAACAATATGTAACTTTATTTACCTCACATAACCTGTTGAATAAAATATAACATGCATGCAGCACTGTGTGTAAAAAACTTTGACTCACTAATTTATGTGGTTGATAACAAAATTATCCCGGACAGGACAGATAAAGGTAACCCTAGTCACTCGATCACTCTCTCCATTGCACTGTCCCAGAGCATACCATGTTATCACCCAATCCAGATAACAGGATATATACTCTCCCCACCACACTTGAGGTCATATGAACAGGCAGTCATTACTGACACTATCTAGCAGAGGTGAGTATTATTTGTGTTCTGTGAAACTTTTTTTAACCACATAATTATGTAAAAGTAAGTCTGTAATAGCTATGGAATAAGTTAACTACTGTATAGTAATTATATCACAGCATAGAGGTTACCTCCACTGTACAGTACAATATAATCATCTTATGGACAAAAATAAGTTCTTACTAATGAACCAACAGACGCTTCTAAAAACATGATCTTTCAAATTGCTCCTTTTTTTCTGTCTTGCAAAACATGATTTAATCTGCTACAGTGGCATAGAAGCTCTCTCTCTGTCTCTCTCTCTCTCTTACACACACAAACACAAACACACACTCTCCCTCTTTAAACTCAACTTAATCAACTATATATAGAATCCAAAAGTCTGTAGCATTTGTTCCCTATACCCCCAGGTATGATAGCACCTGTTGTCCCCAGTGACATCTAGAGGACATGGATGGCTTAGATATCACAAATCTAGACCACTCTTACAACAACACATTGGAATATACGGCCCAGACCATAGAAGACAGAAATCTGGGCCATTCTTACAACAACTCACTGGAAAGTGCTGCCTACACTCTACGCATCATTGGCCGCCCTCTCATTTCAGTTGTTGGTATTTGCTGCAACATCCTGGCACTTGCTGTTTTCTCACGAAAACCTTTACATTGGGCCCCTAGCTGCATGATACTGAAGGGCGTTGCCTTAGGAGATATCTTAGTTCTAATTTGTGGATTTTTCTACTGGACTAACTATGACCTTGACATTCCTTCCATGACAGCCAATGAGGGTGTCTGTAAATTTGTGACAATCTCAGCGGAATATTTTGGTCCTGAGCTCACCTCGTCTCTTCTCATCCTGCTAAGTACAGAGAGACTTCTCAAAGCTGACTATTCTGATGCACATGTTGTCTATTTCTCTGTGAAGAGAACCGCAATAGCAATCCTATCCCTGGCACTGTTCTTTTTCTTCCTGAACATTCCAGTGTTAACTACACACATATTTCTAGAGCATCAAAATGGCAGTGGTAGTATCTGTTGGAACCTGTTCCACAGCACAGACAGTGTATTGTCTGCAGCAGACCGTCAGTACTACTCTGTGTATAGATATATAGTTCTGGTGCTGTATGGGGGGATCCCCTACATTGGACTGCCTATACTGAATGGATGGCTGCTGTGGAAGATGAGAGTCCGTCACAAACTGGTCAGTATAGATGTCCAGGTGACTGGCCGTATTCCTGACCCTCTACACCCCATGGACACAGAGGAGGAGGTCATGGTGGAGGCACGGAGAGGGGAANTCATGGGACGATTCCCAAACTCCATTGTACTAACTGTGGATCGATCTACCTCCAGTGGGATTCTCGCTAAATTGCAATCAACTGAAGTGGTTTAGATGTCTGTCACAGTTTTTGAAGCTGTTAGGGGGTAATTAATTATCATTGAGCAGCTTCAGTAGGCGTGCCAGACATCTAAGCCGCTTAATCTGAAAGCAATTTTGTGAGAAACCCCTCAGAGATGGACTGATCCTACAACTACACACTGGGCTGCTACCAATATTTCAGCTATTTTAACTTCTCAGTGAGATTTAGAACACACTGCATTCTAACTTACATTTCTCTGAGATGTGAACTTCATGTCCACAGGTGTAGAGGACAGTGGTGTTGTAGTGGACAGGTCAGCAAGGTCCACCTGGATACCTTGGTCCATTGTGTCCACTTGACCAGGTGAGGGCGGCACTGATCTACCCAATCTAAAGCAATATCATGTATGGTCAACCTAGATGGTCATTTCTACAAAGATTATTGCTACCATATACATAGTGTACATCATAGAGGGGACCATGGGGTGATTTTGTTACCTGTGAAAGCCACAGTATATTTTGTGAGATGCATGAAAGGTTTGAGAGAACAGTTTCATTAACTCTGTATGTATCAACTTGTATTTTATAAGCACTTGATAAAAAGAAAAACAATAATTTAAAAATGAAAGGTTTGTTTTATTCTGAATAACTCATGAAGCACCCTATTCCTGTGACCTGTTAATGCAGCTTTTTATTCTACATCAAACAGAGCACTGAAGACTGCTATTCAGCTATGATGGGAGGAATTTATCTACTTCAAGGAATTATTTGACATCTGGATATAATTAGTCTTGAACAAAAGAATACTAGACACTTTACTGAATGCAACACATAGGTTCAGGATAATATGATATACTGTATGGGTGATTTACAAGTTCAAATAGACCTTTGACAAGGATGGTCTTACTTTTTTACTGTCCTCATGGAGGAATTTATTCTCTGGAGTTCCTTTGTCTTGGTCAAGTTAACATTAGATATTACTGGACTCAGCAGGAAATGGGAAGCTGAAACTGGCATCATTAGTCACCAAGGGTTGAATCAACAATGGCACCAGACAGACAGACAGACAAATATTTGAGTCAAAATCAACACAATCACAACCAAGCACAATCACAATTAAATCTCAACAACAGCAATGGCATTAAAAAGGAAGTACTTCATACATTTTTGTATTACAGTTAAAATAACAAATGATGAAGGTAATTCCATCATAGGTTGTGAAAATTTTTCTGCCATGTCAATGATTTTAATAGCTTTAAGCAAGAGATAAGTACTTCAGTTATTCACCTTTGGTTTGAACTGTGTTTCTTGGTTTCCTTGTAGTATGAGCCTGCATCTGAGCAGCCCCATGCCTCACATATTTCTGTTCCCTACTACGGCTTTCAACAGCCTCCACTGCAGTCAGCTCTTCAGTGGGATCTGCCTGGCGCAGTCTGCCCGTCATGTCATCTGCCTGGCGTAGTCTGCCTGTCATGTCATCTGCCTGGCGCAGTCTGCCTGTCATGTCATCTGCCTGGCATAGTCTGCCTGTCATGTCATATGCCTGGCGCAGTCTGCCTGTCATGTCATTTGCCTGGCGCAGTCTGCCTGTCATGTCATCTGCCTGGCGCAGTCTGCCTGTCATGTCATCTGCCTGGCGCAGTCTGCCTGTCATGTCATTTGCCTGGCGCAGTGGATAAGACGGTTCTACATACTGATACCTTCGCACTAAAAAACAACAAGCACCCCATTTAATTAAAACATTTCAGTATTTGTACTACATATCACACAAGTGGAAAATAGCACATGTATTAAAAACACTAAAATAGCCTTAATAGGACAAACAACTATATCCTGTCACTACTCCAAAAGCAGAGAACTCTCACCTGGAAGTCTTGACCTCTGGGGCCTGACAACACCACGACCACCAACCAGAAAGCTGGCTGAATTCTCAGCAATATTTTCATGATTTTGGTCAATTTTGTAGGTTGTGTCACAATGAAGGGCCTCTGTTACTGGTTGAGATGAATCCTGACCTACTCCATTTCTTGGTCCTTTATCTGCACCTCTTTCATCTACCAATAATCCTTCATTAGAAAAAAGATTATCCTTTGGATTTTTCTCCATCTAGAAAATAAATAAGAGCATAAAATAAATTAAAAAACTATGACATAAAATTCCATAAACTTTTTTTAATCATTTGACAAAACAAAGACAGTAGAAAAAGATTTATTGTATTGTGGGAACCAATACCTAACCTTGACGAATCTCAGAAACCCTCAGAATTGAATTAAAAATGCGGAATTCTGCTTTTCCATGGAAAAGCTCATGTCTGGGTGAAATGAAATCCCTGTGCACTTTGATATAATAGGACAAACTTAACAAAAAGTCGATGCAATTCTCCATATTTTTGTAAGCTCTTTGACCAATGAAATTACATCATACTTTTACCCGTGATGGCCTCATATTTAATTTCTTATAAAGTTTCTTGTAAAACATTGAAGAATTGTTAAATAAATTACCAAAATAATTTAAAGCCAATAAAGTGTTAGTGGGGGGGGGGGGGGGCAATGAAAAAGG